AATAGATGCAAACCAAATTATGCAAGAGAAGTAAATTGATGAGAGACAAATAAACGAACTATCCACTTTTTTTTTTCTTTCACATTTAATCAAACTTATTTCATTAATAATTTTGTAAAAATGAGATGACATTTTTAATTTCTATTTTTAGGTATCAACGTGGACAATTGTTAAATCATATTTCTCAATGAAGACACAAATAAATATTCTCTATAAAGACTGTCACACTTTACTATGACTTTTTCGGTAATAACCTTCATTATTCAATTTTTACATTAAATATAAGAATTTCATCCAAACAATTATTTTTTACTTATCCTTACGTCAATATGTCAATATGTCAAAATTCATTGTACTTTTACAGTATGCAAATATTTTGTATCGAGTTCATTGCTTATTCTATACTCTTAGATAAAAGTGAATATACCTAATTTAAATTGTTTATATTTAATGTTTAATATGAGATAGATTAAAATGATTAATAAGTAACATGTTAATAACGATAGGTAAAAAATTTAAATTAAATTAAATACAAATGCTAATAGATATAACACGTTGTTCTATTAGTATTACAATAACTTTTTAGGCAAAAGAAACTTTACCAGGTCCATATTATCTTATTATTTTCAATCAAATTTAGAACTTCATGATTTATTAACAATGTGTTAGTGCAAATAAAATTATTCCATATTTTCTGTTAGTATTTGTGTACGTGTCTTCAAATTTTATTGAATTTTACTTGAAACATTTGTTTAATTAGCATTAAATTGATTGTCTTCAAACTTCCAAAATGAATATTTGTTGAGCTTCTTAGGCACGATTGGATATGAATCCAACCAGTTTTGACCAATTTTGTTTGGTTAAATTAGTTAAAGTGAGTTAGTTTGAATATAGTATAACGAGTGGATGATTTTGAGTTTGAAATTAAATGATATTTAAAATATAATGATTAAAATTGATGTGATTTAAAAGTAGAGGAGAGATCATCGAAAGTGATAGGTGATTAAAGTTATGTTAGTAGATGAATAGTAAATAAAAATTTATGTGATGTATGAGAATGATTGTTTATATTTATAAAAACTAAGAGAGTTAAGTTGAGTTTTCTTTTGAGTTATATGAATTGATATGAAATAACTCAACCGATTATAAACGATTAAGACCGGTTATAACTCATATATAATCATGTCCTAAGCAAGTTGTTTCTCATAGTAAATATATATGTATGATCCTAGCTATTTTTTACTTATATATATATATATATATATATATACTTATATTTAACTTAAAATGTATGTCATAAATAATATATTTTTGTCAAATCAACTTAAAGACATGCAAATTCAATTAGACAAATTATACGGTTCATGTGCGAAGCACGTGCACCTTACTAGTATTACTAGTATAAATATAATAATAATGTATTTTATATATATATATATAATATTTTGTACAAACTAATTAAAACATGACTGTTCTTGACAAAAATTTTCAAAACCGATACCGACATTGTTTAAAAGGTTCAGGACCGGGAACATGATGAAAATAAAGAAAACTGTTTTTTAACCTTATTTTTTTGGGACCCGACCATTTCGGTCCGATTCGGTACCGAGAAATTCGGTTTTTTGCCCACCTCTATTTTATCAGCTAACTTATCAACTAGTTTTACCAAAAACAATCTTTATCAACTTTTTTAACCATGTGGATATGTCACTGTGTCGGAGACTCGGAGTTGATTTTAGGCACACATGTTTTTTGAGAAGGAGAAATAAAACGTGGGACTGAATTTTATTAGTTTCCTAACTTCAATAATTCTCATGCACCAGAAATTGTTGCCGATAATTGTGTATCTGAATAGAAAAAATTGTTAGAACTAAAAAAATCGGGAACTTACAATAAAAACTAAATAATTCAAATTTAACCAAGAGCGTTGGATCAGATGGTTTGAGTCTCTTCCAGCTTAATCAGTGGTCTTGAGTTCGAGCCCTGGGAATGCAGCAGTGTTAAAACTCTTGAGGGAGAGCTTTGCCGCCCTTGTGGTCCTACCCGGCTCGATTCCGGATTAGTCGATTCCCCTGTAGATCCGGAAACCGGAAGGTTCCTGTACAAAAAAAAAAAAAAATTAATAATTCAAATTTATGTTTATGTCTCTAGCTCTATATAGAAGCCTATAGGATATTATTTATAGATTTTCACTAGGTTAATGCCATGATTAACAACATTCAATTGTCATAAATAACGGTCTTACTGAGTAATAAATTATAATTATTAGTTAATATTTTTTACTTCTCAATATTTAACTTATAATTATTAGTTAATATTATTTACCTTCATTTTTAAGTTATAATTATTATTTAATATTATTTACCCGTGCATCACACAGACTAGGCAGTATATTAATAGAAATGATGCGATGCAATGTATGCTTTCGCCTTCTCAACGAGATTCATGAAAAACATAATTGTTCTTGAGTCAAAAAAACTTTATTT